AGGAAGGTAAAGTACAGAATGCATTACAGTGATAAACATGCAGCTTTTTCTTTTCTTCTCATATTTAGCCTGACCCTTTTGAAAGCAGTGATCCTTTTACATCTTCAGGTATCTCTTCAAAACGCCCAGGTAAGAGGGATGGGATTCTGCTTGTAAAAGGCAAAAATAACTTTTTATTGCCTTTTGGACACCCAGTTTTGGATGCAAAGAGTTCATTCCCAAGCCATTGTTGCCAGGTGGCAACAGGAACAGGGCCACCTGCAAGCTTTCCTGACAGCTCTCTGCTGGGCCCACTGAGGAACAGGGAGGGAGAGCAGAGCACTGTGAGATAGGAGGTGGGGTCTGAGACCTGGCCACTTGTTAAATTTGTCCCAGCAAGACAGGTTGCTGTCTGAGACAGCAACTTTGTCATGGATCCACCAGTTTTGTGGTGGTTGAGCTATTTTTACAGTGCAACAAACAGTGTGGCCATTCACCTCACATTAATCGCTAATATAAAAGTGGGACAAATGTAACGTCTGCCAGGGTCCTATAGCTGCCACCCTGTCCTCCCTTCTGCCAACTTCACATTGACATAGCCAGCCATCTCTGTAGAGAGATTTGGGAGACTTACAACTTGTGCAGAGACCATCTGTGTAGATGGCCCTGTCATTGTAGCCTCTCTGTTAGGATGCCTAGATTCTGAAGAACAATGTACCTCAGCAGGTGGGCAAACCACAAACTCCTCTCCACAGTGGCAGAAGGTGAAGTCCATATTTTCTTCAATTTTCCCTTTTGTGGATGGGAAATGGGGATTAAAAATATGTCATTTGACCATGACTGATTCTCACGTGAAACAAATTTTTATGGTCCCTTGGCAGATTTTGTCAAGGTCTGGGAAGAGACTGCTGAAACAAATGCATTCTAACATTAAGAACCTCAGCGCTTGGAAAAGAATCTTTTGGGTAGTTGGAATGTGGTGTGATCAGACTCAAATAATAGGCATATTCCAAATGAAAAGCATTTAAAAAAACCTGTTCCTTATAAAGGAGATTCTAGGATGGAGTAAACTTGTTACTTACTGCTGAATTTTTACCCTAAGGAAGAATCAGTCATCCTTCAAGTTCACTGTGAAATCACAATATCTGACTTAAAACATGTGCTTTAAAAGCCTATTATGAAATCATTCTGTAGGCATCAGTTGACAAATCTATTGCTACTACTATCAAGATCTTCATATTGGTGTCCTTAATTCTTATGCCTTGGGTTACATTTGAGGAAAAAATATTTTTATACTCATGATTTTAATATATATGTATGTATGTATGATTTTAAACAACATTACAAAAAGTTAACTTTGTTCCTTACATGTTTCAGATCCTTTTGGAACGTTAGACCCATTTGGAAGTGGTGCCTTTAATAGTAATGATGGTTTTGCAGATTTTAGCCAGATGTCAAAGGTAAATGTTCAATGGAAATAAAGTTCCTTTAAAAATGTTGGGTTTTTGGTTTTGTTTTTCCATGTCATTCTTGAAGAGTGCGATGATGTGAATAATATAGGGGATACCAGATCTCAACAGTATATTTTATTGTAATTATGGATACAAACCCCTTTGTAAGAGACCAATAAGATTATTTCGTTAGACACAACAGGTTTTCAGTAACTTGTATGTGTATCATAGAGGATAAATTTATTAAAGGGTTTGTTTTGTTTTTGAAGGGATTTTTACAAATAAGGAAAGAAGTGAAAGCAGTAAAAACCTTTTTTTCATGGGATTTTAAACTCGATTGTGTTTAGCCAAAACAATCTTTCCTATAATTTTTGTCTTGTTTGCCTTTATTTTTCCTCCACTAGGTGGCAGTAGCCTTTACAAATAGCAGGATGTTTGAGTGAAGTTGGTGACTTCTCAGCAAGGCCTGATTAGGACCTTGAGGCCTCCAGGACACTGCCTGCAAAACTCCCTTTTATTGTAGAATTAAACTTAATATGAAAATATGTTAAAAGTATTGCTTGTAAATTGATAAAGTCAAGATACAGAAATCAATCCTATCGATCTATTTTGTAATGGTCAGGATGCTCCTCTGCAGGCAACAGTGGAGAACGTAGTTCAAAAATACCTTGTTTTCTTTTCTAGAAATTTTAAAACACGTAAAGGGGTGAACTGCTGAGAATAGAAGGGGGGTATGCTGTATACTTTAGGAATAGCCACATTTCCAAATGGTACATACTGTTTCACTGTGGTGTTTGATCATATAATGAAAAGTCCTATTTTTTGGCTTTGCTTTGTGGCGAAAAAAACCCAACCAATAGCATGCTGGATTGTATTAAGAGGAATGCCACCTACAAGTCAAGGGAAGTGATTCTTCAAGTGTGATTGCTCACCAGTGCTAAACACCTGGTGACTAGTTTTGAGCGTGGCATTTCAAGAAAGACCTTGACAAATTGGAAAGAGCCCAATGGAGAACAGTCAAAATTTTAGAGGCCTAGGAAACTTGGCTTACAAGAAAAGGTTGGAAGAACTGAGATTATATGGCCTGCAGAAGAGAAAACTGAGGGGGGAGATTTGATAGTAGCCTTCAGATACATAAGGGATGGTCACCCAAGGAACCTTGTCTACCAAGGGATGGTTATACAGAGGAGGGCATACTACTCTTTGTGACTGTGAGGAACAGGACAACAAGTAATGGTCTCAAATTGCAACAAGGGAAATTAGGTTGATTACTGAAAAGAACTTTCTCACTATAAGGGTAGTTAAGCACTGGAATAGATTACCTAGAGGGGTTGTGGAGTGTCGATCCTGGAAGTTTTTAAGAGCAGATTAGATAAACGCTCACCTGAGATGGTTTAGGTAAGGATGCTGCTGCTTGGAGCCCCTTGCTCCAGGCAACATCATCTTTATCTAAACCATTAGATGATCTTCTGAGGTCCCTTCAGCCCAGTTTTTTCTGTGCTTCCTTGCTCTCTGTGTACAAAATGGGACCAAATAAAAGTTCCTGTAGGGACCTTTGTGATAACTATTTCTGTCTAGGGATGTGAAAGGTTAAATGATTAATCATTTAACTGATAAGTGCAGTGATAACCAGTTATCTTAGCAGTTATCCTTTAGCTGGGGTGGGCGCAGTCTGGGAAGGGGGGAAGAGGAGCTGTGTGGTGCCCCAACAGAAATCAGCGGGGTGGGGGGGGTTAGTACCCTAGCTTAAGAGGAAAACAGAGAGCAGCCTAATGACTCATCAATTAAGCAATTAGCTGCTCCTTCACAGGTGCTCCCTCTGGGCTGTGTTGTCTGGCTGGGCTTGCCGCCTCCTTCCCTCCAATCCCCCTCCAAAAGTCACCCTCCCTCTCCCCCCCACCAGGATGGAATGGCACTCAGCAGCAGCTGTCTCTGAGCTGCTGTGTTATCTGTTATTTGTTTACTGGTATAATTAGAGGAGGTTAAACAAATTTTTTTTTAACGGTATTTGCATCCATATTTCTATCTTTTACTGAAGTGTGTAAAGTTATCTTCTAAAACACAAAGCTATCCCTGTTTCACAATGTAAGGCCCTGCAAGCCTTCACGGTTAACTCAGACACGTATTATTGAGGTTGACAAGGTGGACATAATCACAAATACAAAGTGACTATTTTTAGTTCTTCGCAAGATCATGGCCTAAATTATATATTTAGTAATATGAAACAGTGAGGGGAAGATGAAATAGGACACTACAATAAGATGGACACTAAGCAATACCTGGTGCTCACCATAATAGAGCATGGAGAGGTGTGGGTTTTACCTAATGATTATTAAATACGTGCATGTAAATATAAAATATCGGTGTGCAGAAAGCTTTGATGACTGTGACTCAAACCTTTTTATGTTGTTTCCAAAGATATGTACACAGATAATGTATTTTACTACATGAAACACCTCAATTATTAGATTAGTAACTGCTTTCAAAGTAAATGCTTTTGAAAATAAAAGTTAGACTCCTGTGTCCCTGAGTTGATTTTCCATATTTATCTATCCTGAGTTGATGTCTGTCTGAATGATCTTTATATATACTAAAAATAATAAGTTGCTTCTGCTATCTGATATATACTTTCTTTTTCTCTCTCTTGAAGCCTACAGCTTCAGACCCTTTCACCTCCTCTTTTGGAGGGATGGGATTCTCAGATGACCCTTTTAAAAGTAAGCCAGACACTCCCGCTCTACCACCGAAGAAAAATGTTCCTCCACGGCCCAAGCCACCTAGTGGTAAGTACATCTTCTCTTAGCATGGTGTTTCTCAATCTTGTTAGACTCATGGTCTGTCTCAATACACTCAAGTATCCAGGCTGTAGCTATATTGGTCTAGAGGAAAAAGCAATCAGGGCTCATGGACAGAGGTGATACTTTTTATTAGACCAAGAAGATTTTTGCAAAAAAAAAATTCTTTAATTGCAAGCTTTCAGCAATAAGAATTTTTTTAAATTAAATTTTCATATTTTCCCAAGCAAGAAGCAACTTTGACCACCTGAAACCTGAGAGCCTGCCTTTGTCTATGGTAATTTGCATCATCACAGTGTCACAGGATAGCTGAGACGCCTTACCAGCTAACAACTGCTGCCCAGAGGGTTTTTCCATCTATTGACTCCTCTCTGAAATCCTATGAAATATGAACTTTCATTTCTATCCAAGAGAACCTTTACAATCTTTTTTCTGATGCCTGATGAAGGGTGTTTGTGCCTGAAAGCTTGAAATTACATTTTTTTTTTGGTTGCAAAAATCATGGTCTAATAAAAAGGTATTGCCTCTGTCCACGAATCTGATTGCTCAGTAGACTCAAGGCACTCCTCAAAAAATACCAACTCTTCTTTTTACTTGTTTTTTTACTGTGGAAAAATAAAAGAGCAATTCTTTTGTTGCACAGAACTCAGACCACAACAAGTCAAAAACACTATGACTTCCTATTTGACATTGCTGAGTTTATCTTGTAAACCATTCTTGCATAGCTAATTGCCAACATTGTGTGACACCCCGTGGCACCCGTGAAAGGATCTCCAGGCATCCCAGATTGAGAATCACTCTTTTTGCAGGCACTTCCTATAGTTTTTTTTCTGCTTGTCAAGGTAACAGAAAGTCTACAGTTTTCGGTCTTGTAGATCTCTCATCAGCCCACGTTCTAGGAAGGTTGGCAGATGGTTCAGACATGTAATGCTTGCGGTGGGGAGGGAGGGACTATGGGGAGAGAGATTAGATTTTCAGTAAAAGGCAAGGAACTTTTGTATAAATTTTAATTATGGACTATTTCTAAGTACAATGATAAATTTCTACCTCTGGTACACTATGTTCTGAAACTGCCAAGTATGAATGAATCTGCTATATAGTTTAATAATTTAAGGTTTATTTTAGTTTGGAGTTTAGCTTCAGATCATTTTTCTTCATAATGCCTCATTCTGTTAAACCAGGGGTGGCCAACATGTGGCACAGGTACCACAAGTAGCACAAGCAGTCTCTGTGTATGGCATATGGAAAATTGGGAAGGGGACAGGCAACAGTGTGACAACAAACAAAGAGCAGAAAACAGAGCATCAGATCAGGCAGGGAGCATAGGACGGGGAGCAGAAAGTAAAACTGCAGATCCGGTAAGGGGAAGGGATGAGAGTGGTACCCAGGGAGGGTGCAGGGCTAGTCTGTGGCACATCTGCCAAGAAAGGTTGGCCCCTACCCACTATTTTAAGCCATCTAAATTCTGGCGAAACTGTTAATAAACAGAAAGCATTTCATAGCTGTTAGTTTCAAGTCTGTTTCTGTCAGCCTGTGATATATTTTAGTAGATGTTAATAGTGAACTCTGACAGGGAACAGCTAGGTCATAGAAAAAACATGATCTTGCCACAAATATGCTCACAAATCTATTTGTATTAAAACTCTGGCACTGTGAGGTGTTTTGTTTTGTTTTGTTTGTGACATACACATGTAAAGAAAGCCCAAATATCCAGAATTTCTATGTATTTTTACCGTTTCATAAATTTGTAGACAAATCTATTATTATAACCTCCCTTTCATCATGGATCTCACACTTTCCTTGTATTGCATCACGGAGCAGTGCTTGGTCTTGTCTGACACTGCAGTTGTCACACTGACTGCTCATAAAAGTAGTTGTTAATTTGGTTCACCCTGCAGGTGAACCATCACTCAAAATGAAAAACACCCTTATGGATGTTTTACCTCAAGAGTATTTTAGGTTAAAATTTCTATTGTAGAAAATTGGGTACCCTGTCCCAGATTGACTGTGTTTTGGAAGATTGATTTAACCAAAAAAAACCCACTTATCAAAGGAATACATAATAGCAACCATGATGTCTTTTAGTTTTTGATTGCAGATGATATTTGTGGTTTTATAGTTCATATCAGTATTTAGACATCTTGGGCACTGACAGACAGGGAGAACGTGCTTTACTGAAAGAGGCAGTGTGTTAGTTCGACCCAGCTCTGCAGCATCTATATAGATCTCTTGCTTCAGTGGGACTTTTCTGGCACTTTTATCTAACAGCTGATTGAATCGGCTATTAGGTAAAAGTACCAGAAAAGCCCTTCTTAAGTGCCCGATCTATACAGACGCTGGGCGAGCTGAGTCAAACTAACACGCTTTCTCTTCTGGACATGGACTGGGCTTGGTGTGGGGTGCGCCAAGTTTAAAGTAAAGTGATATTGGGGGTGGGGGTTACATCTGTAAGCAATCCATTTTATTACATCTGTAAACAGCCCTTGCTTATCATTAATTGATAAGATGTTTTTGAGTACAGCATATTTGAGTACTGATACATACTGACAAAAAAAAGTGATTGCAGCCAGGTCCTCTATGCAAGCAGTCCCCTTTCTGTTTGCTTTTATAGTGTTCATCATTAAAGTATCTGAGAGCCTTGATAGAAATAATATATACTGTACATAAGTACAGAGCATAGCTGCAGAGCAGTTCAAATATATTGCCATGGCTTCAGAGCCGTGAATTCAAGGCCTGGATTTATGCCAATGGCTACCTTCAGCCGCCCCAGTGGTTACCTGGTCATACAGGCTGGGAAGTAAAAAAATGGCTATATGTGATGCTAGCCATGATGTGCTCTTGTGTGCCACTGACTACAGAAATTGGTTTCATAACCGGACTACCTCAATGTGCTGTTAGCTCAAGGGTGGACCTTTGACTTGACTGGGGAGAGAAACACAGACCAACAAGACAAGTGGCAAGCATTACAGGAAGAGGTGATCTCATTGCCATCCTCAATGCTGTATTTTTTCTTTTGGTTAGTTTTCATGGGGTACATGCTATTGACCAGAATGTCTGTTTACTCTTTCTTTTCTTTAGAAATGTCTGAATAAACTAATTCCAAATGTAAAGGGGCTATGTAAAAGGAATGAGTCAAATAGATAATACTGATGAGGTATATTTAGTATTTCTTTCATGTGGTTTCTTTCTGTACTTTTCTTGCTTAAACTTGATGAATTCTAGCAAATATATCATAATACATAAGTAACTTATTATGCATCTGTGTCCCCGTTTATGGGAGAGGAGGTTTTGAGGAGCCAGGTGTGCTCATAAAATAGACAGTGGAGGAAATATAGTTGCTCTTTTAAAAAGCAAATGAGCCTTGGGTGCTGATGTGCAGTTGTACTCCTCCCTTCCTTCCACACTATAGCAATCATCAGTGGTTACTTAAAACTTGAAAAAATTACATAGTAGTATTCTGTGATGCTTGTGAGAGATACAAATGAGTGTTAGTGATGGAAACCCTGTTCAAAAAGCAAATAACAGAAGAGAAACTTCCGTTGTTTCTTACCTTGCTCGTTAGTCCATTTAATTAAAAAACAAGTATGTGGTAAACATCTTTCAAAGAGAACAGATGCCTGATCAGATAGATCAGATGCATCCAAAACTTGCCCTTTTTACTGCCAGTTTACTCTCTTCCTTTGTAATGTAGCTGACAAGAAAATATGGAATCGTTTTAGTGTATCTTTTATCCTTTCATTAGTGAGGGGAAATAAATCGTTAACAAAAGAAATCTTTCAATTAAAGACTGCCATGAAGATTCTAACCACTTGATCTAAGCTGATTTCTTTAAAATGACTGGCTTGTCCCAGATTCAAGTCTGCAGGCATGGGAAGATGTGCTTTTTTCATGATACTCCTGCAAAGATGTGCACTGGAATGAGGACTCATCCTAGTGGAGGGTAGACATGATATCACCATTGCCTTCCTTCATGACTCTCTCTGAAGAGTCTTGGATTTTGTTTTGTGGAGCAAATTCAGGAAAGACCCTGAATGAATGCAGAGGAAGTGCTGCTTAGTATTTGTCTGTAATGAGTAGGTAAAAAGGGTGTTCATTAGGATCTTAGGAAAGTAGGGCTGATAATCTAAGTCATGTAGTCCAGCCCTCTGCTCAAGTCAGGATCATCCCTGTCTAAGCCATCCCAGCCAAGCGTCTGTCCAACCTGCTCTTAGAAAATTTCAAGGATGGAGATTCTTCCACTTCTCTAGTTAGGCTGTTCCAATGTTTGATCTTGCTCATTGTCAGAAAGTTCCTCTGACCGCAAACCTAAATTTCCTCTGCTGAAGCTTGAGTCCCTTGCTTGTAGTTCTCTCCCATATGGCCACAGAGAAAAGCCCAGCTCCATCCTCTCTATAATCACCCTTCAGATACTTGAAGACTGTTATCAAATCCTATCTCTTCCCCCCCCCCCCGCCCGTTTTCTCTTCTCCAGACTAAGTAACTAACTTTTTCAGCCTTTCCTCTTAAGTTGTGCTTTCCATTAATTTTTTATTGCTCTCCACCGGACTCTTTCTAAGCTGTTTACATCCTTCATGAAGTGTGGAGCCCAAAACTGGACAAAATACTCCAGATGAGACATCACCCGTGCTGAATTGAGTGGAAGAATCACTCCCCTGATTTGCAAGTAACACTCCTGTTGGTACAACCCACTATGCCATTGCCTTTTTTTTTTGTTGCAATGAGAGCATACTGTTGTCTTATTCAGTTTGTGGTCTACTGTAACCCCTAGGTCCTTCTGTACAGTAGCGTAGCCCAGCCAGTCATTCCCCAGTGTGTGGGGGGGTAATGTACATGGAATTATTCCATCCCAAGTGCCAGGCTTTGCACTTGTCCATATTGAACTTTATCTGGTTGATTGCGGAACATTTTTCCAGTATATCCAGGTCATTCTGGATCCTAGCCCTGCCTTCTAGACTATCTGCAACTCCACCCAACCTGGTGTCATCTGC